ATCCCCTCCTGTGAGAGACTAAGTTTGCAATGACTTAATTAAGGAAGGCTAGGTAACAATGCACGCTTCATTGCAATCAGCTGGAACAACCTCAGAATCTTTTAGCATGATATTTTACCAAAGTCTCAAGTTTCAGCTGGCTTAAAAAATGCTCTGTGACAGATGGCAGTTTTCATAGGTGTAAAATGTTCTAATATATCAGACAAGTTCTGCCTGAAACATCCAACAAAATAGGAATGAAAATTGGCCAGGAAATGTTTTTCAAAGTCTCTAAAAATGAATGCTTCCCAGTTTATGAAACATTAAAAGGCCAGAGCAGCATGAGTTTTAAGGCACTTTGCCCATCCAGAAAAAGATTCTTTCTGCATGTATTTTGAGTGACACAACCACAGGCTTTTATCACCACTCCCCACTTGAAGGAAGATCCTGATAGACTGAATACTGGAGATTTGGGCTTCAATGCTTGTACAAGATTGTAAAGAAACTGCTATCCTTTAGCAGCCTCAGGCATGCCTAAATTGTCTTGTAAACTCCAAAATCCTCAAGATGCAGAGTCCCCCACCTCCCTAGAAACACTGTATAAGGGGTTTCCATCTATAGTCAACAAACATCAAACCAGAACACCTGGGAGCACAATTCATGTGGGTTTGTATGCTTAAGTCTGTTGGCATGTCTTTACATGTCATAAATCAACATTACACAGGCAAACATTGAGGGTAACTGGGAAAGGAAAGAAGGATAGCTGTGTTATCACGTCATTCTGGGCTACAGGAGCAATTATTCCAGGAAAAGAAGTATACTGATACAGATACTCTGCTACTGCTGCCTGAGACCGCTTGTTGATTTCCAGGCAGGACTGCATTATGTCACACAGAAATGCTTTTTAGGTATATTGGAAAACCCATTCCCGAATATCAAGTAGGATTCGTAATTACTTTATTAATTCATCGTTTCACTAATTTTAGTGCTCTGAAGTCAGTTTTTACTAGCAGATCATCTGGCCCCCACGAACTATCAAAAAGCTTAGACTATACAGGACTAAAAAAGCTGCTGCAGTGTATCCATCAGGATGTACTGTGTTGGACAGGCAAGATGTCAAACTTTATAGCACGCGGGAGAAGTTTTGAGAATTGCTTAACAGTTTCAGTGGAAAATGCTGTGTCACTATCAGATTTTTTTATATAAACGTAGCAGTACCAGTGAAAATTTTAGTTTAGAAAGTGGTTCAGTTGCAGAAGGAGACCAGAAAACCATATTCCTCCAGCAGAACAAGAAAGCTAGGACTGACAGTTGAAAGCTGTAGTAGTAAGCAGCTAGAAGCTAGTTTTCAGCTTTTGGAAAATAAGGAAGGAAAGCAATTAATCTTGTTTAGACAGTTACAGTTACTTTCTTCATTGACATTTTCATAGTTCCTCTTGACTGGGCATAAGAGGGACTTCCAAGAGGTTTATTTTATTCTTAGACCGATGTGACAGCTCACCTTCTTGAGATCATTGTTTCCATAGAAGGAACTTAGATACAGTGTTAAACTAGATATTTATCCTTGGAGATGCTATGTGCTCATCATTTGTCGATTTCATCACAATAGAATACATGTACTTAGTTTCCTCTTTCTGGTTTTGGACAACTTAAGCTCATCAATTTTACTAACAATATGTTACTCATTGCCAGTCTCCTACAGTCATTTCAATTTCTTCAGGCTGGCAAGTGAAAAACAATAGAAATTATGAGATCACATCCAGACACTAATGAGTGCCCCAGTCTAAAACAATTAACATGTGCCTCTGGGTGAACCTTCACTTCAGTTTGGATCTGAAGCACACTTTGGAACAGTTTACTGATCATCCTCACTGTGCTTTTATTCATGTTGCAAAGTGCTCTTGGAGAGAGTTCTTTCAGATGTAACTGCAGTTGGCAGCTGCATTTCAAAAGTACATCTAAAGTCCTTCAACTGCTACTGAAATGTGCAGCAGTGACCAGCTCCTCAGCACCAACCCTCCTGTTAAAGAAGGCACTCCTGTTATGCTGCAGTACCTGTAAAGGTAGACATAAGCTCAGACAGTTAACTCCAGCAGAGAATTAAAGCACAGAAACTAATCAGAAAAAGACATCAGCCTGCTTGGGGACTATTTTTGGTTTCTGTTGCACCCTTTTCTGCTCGCTAGCTGATCTGGACTCCGAGGATGTCTTCCATAAGATTCAGTTCTCCCCTGGATGTGGGCTGAGACCTGTACCTACCACAGGGTTCGGGATCCATCAAGTGACATGGCCTCTAGAAGCCAGCAACCATTTAATACTCAGAGAAAGTGTGCAACAGGACAGTACTGCTGAAGTACAAAGAAGTAGCAGTACTTCCTTCAAAACCTACTTACCTTCAAAAGGTAGAAGTTAAATCCTACAATATTTGAAAAATTACTCTCCTTGTTTATATGCCTCTAGTTTTAAACTGTAGATAAATGAAAAGCTTTTTACTCCACTAGGTGGTGTAATTTGTCTTTCTGTAAAATGTGGCTTTACAAATATTCCCCCTAACCTTCATTCAAGACGAAACCATAAAATACCATCTGAAAAGTGAAATGGGAATTTGGTCTACAGGAGTCAGCTACTTTATCAGGTCATGCCTCTTCACCATTTTCTATGATTCCTTATAAAAGCTCCTATAAGGACAGGAAAACTTTTCTGTAGAACAGTCCTAGATTCACAAAGGAATAAAGTAGGAACCCAAAACAAAAACATGGTCTCTCTCTATTTCCCCTTATACTCAGGCATGACGCCTGGGTATTTAAGCTGTTCATGTGATTTATCTCATGTATTTTAAAGTGTAACATTTCTCTCCGTGGTTTATGCCCGAGTTACAAGATAATGCAGTCAAACATATTCCTGGATCTTTCTTGGCCAGTTATGCTAGAACTTGCATGGTTATAGTTACATATAGGGGAAGCAGAGAATGCTAGCCTGCATAACAGGATGTATCTTGGAGGATATACTCTGGCTAAATGTAACCCTGGTGGATATAACCCTCTGGTTAAAACAAAAAAAACATCTTGGCTGGTGCCATCCAACTCTTGGCTTCAACTGAAGTCCAAATTAATAAAAAAGTATGCCTGGATCATAGCTTGCTGTTTAGACATTTGCAGGCATTTATTTGTTCATGATCAGTGAACAACATCTACTGACACACATACACCAAAAAAAAAAAAAAAGGCCATCTAGTAAGCAAAATGCCCAACACCCCATCAGCAGTATACCTCTCTTCCTAGAATTCTGTAGCTACTAAATCACCACATGGTCCAGCTCTGCCTAAACTTTAGCATCAAAGAAGTCCATAATGGAAAAATACAACTTGATAATTTTTATAGTGCTTCCAGGATGTCTTGTAGGTATTAAACAGAAGCCATAAAACTTACAGAAACCAACCAGCAGGAGAAAAGAGACGGTTCAAAGCTCAAGACTGAACTGAACAAAACCCATCTGGCAAACTGGAGGAAGCTCAGCTATCCTATCAGCTCCAAGTTCTCTTCTGCTATCCACCCACAACTCTGCCTCCTTGCCCTTGGAAAACTGGTACTGGTAAGAGGCGTTTTATTAATGAACACACCCATGAGAAACGCAACCAAGGAACACATCCAACACAGATGGAATCATCAGCTTTCAGTGCTGAAACTTTTTGGCACTTCCTCATAGTCGTAGTCTGTACAGTACCCACGTTAATTCAGGTTATTTACATATACAGACACATTTAAGAGCAGTCAGAAGAGATTAAAGAGTTTACATGCTCACCATACCTTCTCCAAGCACTGAATTTAAAATATAGGACTGCCTACTGTGCATTATTAATGGCATTTCTATACATTAGCACCACTGGAGGATTTGTTTTTGAATGCAAATTTCACAAACCAACGATTTCCTCTATGAATGATTAATGTGTGACAAATCTGAGGTATCTGCATCTACAGTTGTGCATGCTAGAGACTCAGAAAATTTACCTGAAAAGTTTCTGTTAAATACTTCAAGGTTGGGTAGAAACAAACCCAGAAAGTTCCTCAATGGCTACAGTAAAGGCTTTAATCTCATTAAAAAAAACCATAATTGGATTTGTCTCATAACCACTTCTACAACTCCAGTTACTCAGGGATAATATTATCTAGAGTAGGGTCTGTGTTGCATTATACTGACCAAAGCTTCCAAAGGTGTAGCTCTTGAGGTGACAGAAAAATGGGTAAAGGTCCTTCTTGGTTATACACACACCAGATAAAGGGCCATCTTAATAGCATCATCTTGTGCACATATTTAACCACAAGAAGAGGAAGAAGCAATTCTGCAATTGTAAATTCATATGTGATAATCTTCATATTAAGTACTAGACTGTTCTGTGAAAAAAGAAACATAAGAAACACCATGACAAGTGCATGACCTATGCCACACAGAGAATGTATCTGTTATGTCCAATTACTGATGTTGATCAATTTAAACCTGATTTACGGTCTGCTGCAAAATCTTATACCAGGAGACTCTTTGATAGCAGTATCAATGCACATAGCTCTATCATAAGAAAAAAAGCACTTCATGCTGGGCAAACACACAGATTCTGAAAAAATTAGATTAAGCATTTACAGGATGGAGGTTTGTGTTCCATTAAGTCACTTTTATGCCATCATTAGAAAATGCCCCTAAGCAGAGGTAGGTTTGAGGGATTAAGAAGGAAAACTTGGCACAAAGAGATACCTAATAGTGGCATCGCATCAACAACATAACTGCACTCAAGTCTCAGCAAATGTGGGTTTTGCTGAATTCAGTTTGCAAATTGTGACAGCAGATGGTTGAAACCCGCCCCCATAAAAATTCCATGCCTGAAATGGTATTGCCTATGTTTACACACCCTGAGAAATAAGACTTGGATTTACAAAGAACCAAGTGAGTAACTTCTATTCCCACATGCTGTGATGCCTGTTATGCAGGGTACAGGACACTTGAAAACACAGCAAAGTATTTGGCCACTATTACATAGTCAATAAGCTTTTATTTAGATGATAAAGGACAACATGTTTGCAAGAAGAAAGATCTAGGGAGATTTACTGCTCCCCTGAAATTCAGAGAAGTTCCCCAGGTTCCCTGTCCGTACGTCAGTGCTTGAGCGAAAGAACAAGCAGGTTCTTTGAATCACAGGCAAAGTCACTATCTGCATTAACTGCACAGAGATTTCATCTTCACGTTGCCTCCCGCTGGATACACTCTGTGTATGAGGAGTGATCTAAATATTGGATTGCACATATTTGGCAGGTCTTGCACCCCTCTTCACAGACAATGGTTTTGTCATAACTCACAATGAAGTTACTGTAATACTGCTTAAAGAGTGTGCTGTGTGGCATAGACAACTGTTTGGCCATTTCATATAGGCTTTCTGGCTTCAAGTCTTCAATGCCATAAGTTTTAGTCAGGATGTATTCTAATTTCCAGTTGGATTCATTTTTCTCATTGGCATCTCTGAGGTCCAAGTAAAACTGCCAAAGATCCTACAGTTAAAAAAAAAAAAAGAAAAAAAAAGAGAAAGAAAGAAAAAATAGTCATGGCTGTATTGCTTTCTTCCCTGCTTCATTAAGTCTCTGGAGTGATATATTGATTAGGAAGCTGTCAGTCCTCATTATTCACAAGCGAACAGAAGGTCATGTCCCACCCCAAGAGCTGGGCTTACACCCAAAGCTGGTACTTGCAGTGCGGTAATGGTGGGGGGATGGGGAGGAGAAGAAAAAGGAGACACAAAAGGCAGCAGTGCCAGTGTTAGAGGTCTTTCCTGTCCAAACTCCTCTATGCTCATGTCTGCCTTAGGAGCGGGGCAAAAGGATAAAAAACAGAAGTCTCCTTTCTGCAGGCACTCCTTGAGGGGCAGAATGGACAGAAAAACAATGGCCCAGGGAGAATTTAAGGGAAAGGAAGAGATCTCGATGCAGGAGTGAAATCTGCACAAGAAAGGAGCAGCCTGTATTAGCATAGGTCTCCAGAGAGAAACCCCACTCCCAGTCAAGCTGCAGAGTGCATTGTCACTGAACTCAGTGGAGTGAAGATTTTATCCTGAATTACAGAGAGAAAGTCCAAGTCATTCAGAGCCAATATAATTATACAGGATTCACTTCATCTCCAAAAATCACAAGACCACAGAGTAAAAGTATTTTACTTTTTTTCCTTCTAAATTTATCTACCATTTCCCATAAAAAGTATAAACTCCATATAGGAAGATGCATGATTACAAGACATCATGGGGTTAAAAGTGCTTTTCTTCCTCTGCCCTTCTACACCCTTTAGAAGCCTTTCATGGACTGCATCCCAAAGCTCAGGCTATCTTCAGCAAACAACAAGCCTAGGATTTGGGGTGAACCTCTTTCACAGTTGCAGAGCTCCCTGCAAATAGTTTTAGGATTTTGCCTAGAAAAATTCTGATTGTCTTTGATTCTGTGTCATAAGAATATTCCATTGAGAATAGAAGGTAGTCCAGCAGGCACAGAAAGACAGATTTCCTTTCCTTTGCCCAGGAAGAAAAATTAAGAGTAAGCACCAAAGTTCCACCAATAGCCATGATACTACAAAGGCTGATTGATATCTCACTGTAATTTTCAATTACACTATATTTAAAGTCTTCAACAATGCTTTAAAATATTTACTTACCAGCAAAGTATAATCAAGAATATCATACTGATACAATCTGACACCAGGGTTATTGGACTCCATTTGCCATACATTCTTCACTGGGGTTACAGCAGGTGCCACAAACAAGGAATTGACTGGCTTTTCTGCAGGAAAAAAGAAGGTGAGGAGACAGTTTCCTTTCAATCATTTTTTCAAACAAACGTTTTTTTAGAGAACCAACACAGCAAGGACAAGAGTGACTGGCTTAAGGATATTAGCTTTTTCCCCCCCTGGATAAGCTATATCACTGTGAACTCCTTCTATACTTCCAATACACAAACCAAACCTTGTGTCAAATACAACAGTACTCACTCCAGTGTGTACCACTTAAGTTTGTCTATACTAGAGGCTTCCCAACCAATTCGACTACCTGGGCAAAGTGTCTTGCCTATATGTGAAGTCTCTGCATTTTGCATATTTCTACTGAAGACATATTCAAAACCTTTAGCTGCTGTTTCCATACAGTATTTTACATGTCACTTTATGTGTTTATAATGTTATTAGAAACAGCAGAGTCTCATAACTTGACCCTGACTTCACTCAGCTACACTAACTCAGCACCTAGTACATGAACACAGATCTTTACAGCAACTGAATTGCGAGGATACAGATGGTTTTAATGAGACAGAATATGCAGGTAAGCACATTGAGAGGTTCTCTGTGGAAGAAAGAAAACCTAACTATTCCCTTCTCTGACACTGTCACAGCAATGAAATCACAAGGTCAGTCTCCACATATGAGCAGAAGCTTTGAAAGCTTGGAAATCAATAGATTCTTCTGGAGAAGACAAAACTGAGCTCTATCTCATTACACTGATGTTGGCTGCAATACTGCATTTATCTTGAATTCTCTGGAATTCTGTCAAGAGGAAAATGTCATGAATAGAAGACAGTCTAAAACTGTACAGATAAACACAATCTGTATGTAGCTACATGCAACTTCACTGTTTAAATCTTGTCAAAAGATGCAAAATTACTAAAATAATTTGGAAGCAGTTGCACATGTGAACTGTAATGACAAGCACCAAGATCAGTCTGTCCCCAGTGAAACTTGCTGTAGAGGTGATGATTTTAAGCATAAATGGGACAAGGTAGAAAAAATGTAAGTATGAGACTGCCTTAAACACCATTAAAAAAATACAAAAAGCCAGTTCTTTCATTAGTCTGGATTCTTTTTACTGGAGATTAACTCCATAATAACACCATGTAAAAAAGTAAAAGATTTGGAATAGTGTTACCCTGGTCATCATTTCGGGCATAGTTTTTATAAGTTTATATAAAACATAGATGAAGAGCCAATTAACATTTGGGTATTTTACATAAAGCAAAGCAACGGACCTCTCATTGTTCTATGCTACAGACACAACTTGTTAGATATCTTCTGTTAGAGATGTTAGAGTGCTCCATATAGCCATGCCCATGTTTCAAACTAAGGGATTTCAAAGCAATAAACAAAAATTTCAATGTGGGTGATTTTCTTGAAGGGAAATTAGCTGATCTAAGAGATGCAACAGGCAGAGACTTTCTTTCCTCTGCCTCCTGCTTACCCTTATCTTAATTAACTTTGAAGCAGCAGGGAACTCAGCAGAGAGGCACAGTAATGATGCAGGAAACACAAGAACATAGAGCATGTCTAGCTGGCCTGAGAACATTCCCTTTGACACATTACACAATAGCAACTGGCTAGTATAATTTGCCCGTGTCACTGAGTGGAGAGGAAAGACTAGAAATGCCTGTCTAGGCATAAGCGTTCATTAAAAAAAAAAATAGATTAGGAAGCTAGAGGAGTCTCTTCTAACTACAATAAAAAAAGACAGTCTGCCTTGCAAGATTCTCTTTGGAAAAAGAATGGCAGTGTGTGAGACTTGAACTCTTGCAGATATATAGCAGTATTTCCCAATTTCCTTTTTTCCAATTATTTGTAACAGAAGCTGACTAGGAAAAACATGCAAGAAAGTATTAATTTGCTTTTAATCAGGAAGAAAAAGATTCAGGAGTCAGCAAGCATCATTACCTTCTTCATCCAGGAGGACCATGATACTATCTCTATGTGTATGTCCAAAAAACTGGCCCGCAATAACACTACTGTATTTGCGAAAAATCTTTACCAGTCTCTCATTGTAATACTCCCTTATAGCTGTAGTATTCCTTGCATATGGCAAGTATCCTACCGGTACATGACCTATTATATATACCTAAGGAATTAAATACAGAAAGTATGATTAGCACCTTCATTTGAAACTTACACTTTTAGCTGTAACCTAATAACGGTTACCACAGTTTCATAATAATGCTGTCTCAGAAATGTCATTCTGAAAGATGTAAATCATGACAGTTTTTTAATATAAAATACAAACAGTATGAATGTTTAAATTCATAATATCAATTAAGTATATTATTAGAGGAAAATAGTTCCAATAAATCTACGCGTGATTTTAGGCCTAAGGAAAATGTTATCAGTTACTTCAAATGAAAAGAATTAGTTACTAGGGCAAGACTTATAATTTGGCATCTCAAGAAGATAAAAGGAAAAACTTATGTTCAAGTATTACAGTGCCTGCATAGTCAGAGAGTCACCAGAAACATGGAAAAACTAGTTAAAACCCCTCTATCTGAGGCAGAGGCTTAGTGCCAACTGCACACACCAGCTAATATGCTGCAGAGTTTCTTGAGGAAGGGAAATCTCTCCTTTCTCCTGACTGGACTATAATATTTTTTAAATTAAAACACTGCACCAAAATGTAAACATGTTTCAAATTAAACACATCTTCTGCTCAGATGATGATCCAATCCCTGCACCAATCAATCAATCAATCTATCAGGAGCCAACAATTTATAACTTCATTTCAAAACCTGAGTAATATATGACAATTTACTATAACACTCAAATCACAGCAATTGCGCAGCTTGGCTAAGTTTTGTGGTTGACAAACTCCTTTCTAATTTCTATTTTTGATACTTTTAATTATATTAAAATGTAAATCAAACATGCTAGCTTTTGTCTTAGGCCAAGAGTGTAGATTTTAAAATTAAAGACTATGAGTAAAAAAGCTAAGAAACTGGCTTCTGCAGTATTTTACATAGTAGGAAAGAAAAAGTATTTTACTGTATAATTTGAGAAACTTCATTAGAGAAATTTCATTCAACTATTTTATTAATTGTTGCAGTATAATGTGCCTATCCAAAGAGGAATTATTAAAAAATAAATTTTAATTTTTTAGTATCTTTGGCAGCATTAATATTCTTCTAGAAGCATGTTTATATTTTCATTGTCTCTACTTCTTCTGATGGGTTCTGTTCATGGCCCCTACCTTTTCCTTGTTTTGTGAAGAGGTTTCAAGTATTGCCTCCAGCCAGGCAAACTGGTTGGCTGGGTCAGTGATATTCACAGTTAGGCTGTTGGGGCTGTAATATAAATTTGTGTTCAGACTGATTATCCTGAGCGGTTGAGAGCGATCACCGGATTCAAAAAGCTGTGTGTAGAAGCCACCTGTGAAAACAGGACCAATATCCTATGAAAAATGAAAGGCTTCAAGGCACAACTTTACAATCAAAGTATGCCACTGATAAAATACCCAGCCTTACTTTATAATAGACTACTGATGCTTAGTCAAGCTACATATCACCATATCACAACAGAACATCTTAACAACGTTTTCAGCCACATTTTAGTATAAATTGACACTGAATTATTTATGAATTCTTGCCTGTAATTGTCTTTGTGTTTATTTGACAGTATTCAGATGCAATTATCACATCCAAGAAGTGCCCTCTAATGTTTCTTCCACACTGAGATACAATAGTTGTTAAAAGTCCCACATTTCTTGAAATAATGCAAACGTACAGGCTCCTCCAGGAAGAGCTGTTTGAGTTTAGTAGCCTTGTACTCTGAAAGTCATTTAACTTCAGACTGGTAATATGATGAAAAGTAAAGATCACATTTTTCAATTCTAGCTCCCAAAACTCTCCACAGCACGCTGAGCTTCTTCATAGGTGTAACTTCATAGTTCAGTGGAGCTACAGCAACAGAATTATAATATACGTGAATTTATGGTCTGCCCTTTGAGTTTTATTATCCTTCTTAAAGTTTCCACTTCCATTCTTATCCCGAGGTTGTTCTCATTCAGGACACAAACCCACAAATTAAACTTCCAAATCCCTAATGTTTGAGTGGATTGGAAATTGGGTTGAACTTTTCAGTCCTTTGCTAAAAAGAACAATCTTAATTAGGATATCAATATTCTCCCAAGTAGTAAGTTGGACATAAATGTTAACAGTATAATCACCATGACTATGTGCTATCATAACCTGAACCAAAATGTACCTATTCAATATGCCCTGAAACACATATAGCATTAAAACAGAAACATCATTTTAACAGTTTTTTACAACCAAAGCTAAGTTTTCTTGTGCATCCATACACCTTCATCTAAAAAGTATTAAGAGGTATTAAAGTCAGAAAGGTATTTCACATGCATTGGTACAATGTCAATAACACTGTACATCTCTACAAGAAGCAATAATTATTGCATCAGAAAGGAATACACGTATTTTGAATATAGGCATTGCCATTGAAAAAGATAAGTAACTTCTTCCAGGAGAAGCATTACAGATAATCCATTGTTCTGATTCATCCTATGAGACCTAGCTAAACAAACAGCTAATCCATAGAAACATTAATTTCCTAAACCTGAGCTTCACAATGCATTACTGCCATATTTACCTTTTCTGAAGGTATTGATTGCTTCATCATTTAGCCAAGGTTTCCAGAAATCGGCAACAGCATTGTAAACTTCACTGGTAGTTACAGGAAGCTGATCCTGTGAGAGAGGAGAATCTCGCTAAATCTTAGCATTCGGACACACAGACAAAAAAACCCCACTAAATTATCCTACCTGGTCTCTTGCATAACATGTAAGTGTATCCAGTCATCACCAGGAGGAATTCAAGAAAGGAAAAAACCAACTTCTAAACATCCAGTATTGCTGATCAGCTTCAAATGCCTAAACTTAGTCAGAACTGACTGCATGGCCTTATTAATGCACTGATAAACTAACGCCAGAAATATGTGAAACTTTAGTAATACAGCAGAATGGAAAACCATACATTCTACAGAATTAATAAACATATCAACTGACAAGTCAAAGTCTAAAAATAAAGTCTGTTGGATGAAAAGCTTGAAGGTAAGCTTCTCTTAAAGAAGGTGATTTTTTCAAGAACTTGGGGTTCATAGCAGCTCCTTAAAACTCCACTACGGCCCTCAGACACATTCAGACGAAATTGGCAAATGTTGCTGTGGTGTCCTGTAGTTCTAGTAACAAAGCATTTAAAATATAAAAGAAAAAGTTTTGTCAATGTTTTCTCCCACTGGCTTTAATTAGGACTGTAGCACTCTTCAGCCTGAGCCACAGCCTGTTAAGAGCCATGCTCTGATCTAACCCTGACAGGAAGACACCAGCCTGTCCTAACAGGGGTTGAAAAACAGGAACAGTATTGCAGTGCATGTTTTCTTAAACATAAATTTGACCTTTCCAAGATCTTTGAAACTAAACCTACGTTGTTAGAGGCTTAGGCAGTAAGCCTCTGTCTAGGAGCAGTGCAATCAGACGTCTGTTGAGAAATTTGCTGCTTGCAGTGCACAGACATCAGTTATTAGGACAGCTTTGAGCCAGACCTAACAGTTACTAAGACACACAGCAAAACCTGATCTCAGATAAGAGATCATGTTATGGACTGAAGGTGGTTTGGACTCAGGCAAGCCACTGTTCTGTGAATTGCTAGACAGCAGTTTGGGAATTTGTTTTAAGCAGGGGCAAGGGTGTGAAGCAAATAAGACAATGCAGAAAGACTTAGGTCACAATATACGATATGAAAGGTATCTCAATGCTTGATTATACTGAGTAGTGTTTATAACATGTTCTGCAAGAAAAATTACCCAAGACTCTTCAGTTGTTAAGACAGTTCAGAACACAACTGAGAGCAATAAAATTCTTCAGTGCATGGTGAGCATGCAGCTCTCACACTTGCTTTGGAGCAGCTCACAGTGTGTGTCTTGTTCCACATCACTTCCAGCCTACAGGATATTTGCCATGCATGTCCATATGAAAAAGAGAAATGTCATAAACTGCAAAAAACAAATGTTAAACCAATCAAAACAGATGAAATGACCCCATAGTGGGGATATTCTGATCCCATTGGCATTTTTCAAGCAGTAACTGAAAAGCATGCCAGTTCTGCACCTTGGTGAAGCATGCGATTTCAAAGCAAAGTATCACACAAACTGTGGCTTTGCACAACAATCACCAGTTATTCCAATCACCTGCCTGCTTCAAAGTCCTATTTGCTGCCCATCTGGTCCTCCTGAGCATCTTTTTTTCTATTTTCAGATTTAATTTTGCAAGCAAAATTCATATTTGTTGAAAAAGTCCCTACATTCTTTGTCTACAAAGTTATTGTATCTAGTTTTTTTCTTCTATATCAAAGGAGACTGCTGAATGACAACTATTATCTGTTTAGACATTTTTAAAAGCAAAACAAAATGAAAACAAAACAGAGCCCTCAGTTAAGGGGTTATTTATCAAACCAGAGGTTTCCAGTGAACCAACCTGTCCTCATCAGTGCACCTGACAAGCCAACACAAAACTACCACAGTAAGAACACAAGAGACTGAAGTCCCAGTTTGGTTTGTACGCTCACATTTCCAATATATGTCTAGCTCTTATTTTTGTTTCACATGTTTCCTTTTCCCACTCTCTCAGCACCTCTGTTACTCTTCAGTCTGGAAACCACTAACTCCAGCAATGACACAGGAAATTATATCATTACCTACTACACCAACATATACCCTGACAGGCCTAATGAATAACACAGAAAGCTGGAATAAATCCTTTGGGGTGTGAAAGGGTGTTACTGAATTCCCATGAGGCATTTCAAACAAAATATTTTAGTTGACCTGCTCCACATCCCTTCTGATCCCCTCAGATCCAATGACAGCATTTGCTTCTGAGTCCTGTGTGCTGCCAGATCAACCCACAACATGCTTGAAAGGACACATGAAGCAACTGTTTACTTTTGAGCTATGCCAAGAACAATATTCACAGTACACTCAAAGCGAAAAAGTCCTCAGCTGCACATAGAAATATTCACATTGATGATTCAGTGGCTAAATGTCCAATAAGGAAAGAAAAAATAGACATATTTTAATAATATTGGCAAAACTAGAGGGACATTACAAAAATTCTGCCATTAGTTTGGTAAAAAAAATAAATCCAGTGATGCCAGCAGACAGATTTCCAGCAGGACTTTCAGTACACCTTGAAACTTATCACAGGCTCATAGATCCATTAAGGATGTAATTTCTGATAGATTACACATGCATGACTCATACAGCAATAAAAAAATAAGCATGTATTAACTATTTCGACATATGGTGGTTCTAAGCCATGAGGAACAATTAGCAATGAATTCACATGATCTCAGGCCACGTACAGATTTTACCTGGCATCAACCTTTCCTCGGGTAAGAGCACAAAGAGAGAGATTTAGTTTCTGTTCTACAGCGGAACTATTGGTAATTTTAAATACTAACTGAAGAATTGTAGAATTCTGTTTCCAGAATAATTTCTGAGGCGTTAGGAACACACTCAATATGACGTATAAAAAGATAGCTAACTTGTTTTACCTGTGGCCAGTAGTCATGATTGCCCAAGGCCGGGAAAACCTGAAGATCTGGAAAGAAATTACGAATTGTAGAACTCATATTGCCAATGATGCTAATGACCAATTTCGTGGAGAGCTCTTTTACAGGAACATGAGGAGGGCTATCTCTGAAAAAGAAAAAGGCTTTATTAACAAAGGTTTGTTAGCAACTGATAAGGAAAGGCAAAAAATTCTGCAAACACATCTACATTCTAGCATGTAAGGCTACTATACTTTTTAATTAAAACCACAGAATTGCTTGAAAGGCTCACTGCAAAGGCTTTAAAAAAGTGCAAACGAGCAGACTAATGTTGTTTCATATCGTAGTGAAGACTTCTTATAAATTAAATTAATTTAATGCCATCATGTTGAGCTACTGCGCAGTTTGGGTTATATGTCTTTCATCACCTGCACAACTTTGCAAGTTTCTTTTTTTCCTTTTAACAACATCCTGTTGAAAATTAAGTACGATAAGGTAAGTGAAACAAATTCATCACTTATCTTCATATATTAGTATTTTTAACACCCTTCCCCAGCAAAATTGACACAACATAAACAAACTAGTTCTCACAAACACTCAAAACTATTAATCTCTTTGATAAATTATCTGTTGAGCTATACCATAAAAAACTATGTGATGGTAGAATTCAGAGTTTTCCTGTGGCAGAAGAGTACATCAATGCTATCTTTCATGACTACCTATAAAGTAACAGGGCATAGTACTATCAAGCTACTCATATGCCTCCCTTTCACACTTCTTTCTCCAGTCCCATTGCTAAGGCACAAAAAGCTTCACAGGTAACACCTCTGTGAGAGTATTATTATGCTCACTTTCTAATATGGAAGATTGGAAGAGGAAAGGTAAATGCTTTTACTCAACAGAGTAAAATGATAGACAGTACTGAAGAGAGAGGCAGCAACTATGACACTGTTACCCTCCCCCTGAGAGCCGCTGATCTAGAATCCATACAGGCACCAAACCAGAATGGTAACTTTATACACTTAAAAAAAAAAATGCATAAGCTACAGTATTGCTTGATTCTAGTTACCTCTTAAAGAACTAAATACAATGTAGTTAGAGGGTATCTTCTAAGAAAGGATGCACTTCAGATGCAGACCTGAAGATGTACAAAATTCACTGCCTCCCGTAATAATTAATTCCAGTCAGTTATTGCCCTGACCTTTCTTTTTGTTTTTTTTCCATTTTCCACCCCCCCTGCACCATTTCTATTAACTTACACTAACACAGCCATGTGGTAAATACCACAATGAACAGTCCAACAATTAATACAGAGATCGAAGTCTGCTCCTGAGGCCTTATATTCTCAGTCTTCCACCTAGTAGCCATTTGGACAATTAAAGGGACAACTAGCATTTGTGAGATACTGAACTCAGATCTGTTGGTGCAAATATAAACTTGTGAATTACCGCACTATGTGGCTATCCCGCTTTAACTGCAATGACGTGAACACTTACCCTGTCCAAATCATGAATGAAACCTGCTCTTTGGAATCCTTCATGAATGTAAATGCTGACAAAATAAGTTGATAAGGAGAATCACACAAAAAATCCCCAAATGGGCCTGGGTTGGAGGCATTGGCTCCTTTGGAAGAAGAACAAACTTTGGTGCGATCAGGGGTAATGTGATAAGTCGGATCTAAATGTAGATCGGATACATGCCAGAACTGCCCTGTTTTCAGAAAACAAAGATTAAAGAAAATGCATTATTTGCATCTGAACTGGATATACAAGGGTAATGCCAAGTTTGCTCCAGGTTTCTACTGCTATTCCTCTTTAGACTCTTGAAAAGGAGAATAAATTTAACAAATTGTTGATCAGCCTGTTTGATAAGTGTGGGCAAGTTCTGCATTCCTGACAAGAGTCGAGTCCTTCCTGTAGTCTACTTAGAAAAACTGAAAACAGAGGCAGAGGCATGGGTTTACACTATTTACCAGAAATAAAAAGGAGATTGGAAGGAACTGAAAAATCAGCTCTTTTTCATTAATAGCAATCTGGAAACTGCAGAGTAGAGGAGGCAATAGAAGGACTTCTCCACTTCACCTGAAAAGAGAGGGAGTTGCATTTTAATTATTTTTCCAGAGCTTCCCTGGCTGGAAGCTACTATAAAAGATCAGAGCCTAGAAAGAATGGCAAGAAACAGCATGTGTGCAAAAATTTCAAAGCTCCTCTCCTCAGCAGCCACAGTAGCAGAGACTGGGCTTCTCACCATAGAGCAAATGTGTCAGCCTTACCACTGTTTTCCAGGCTGACATGTTCTCAGCCATGGCTTCACAGCACTGCACGGACAAAGGAGCTGAGAAGTATAGGAATATGCTGAACAAGGTGAATGAAGTCTGTATTAGCCTATAAGCCTTCAAGTTTCATGTAAAATAAGAGTAATTTCTTTCTGTCCGTTTCAAAGCACTTGGCTTTGATACCCATGTATCTGGGGCAGTGGTTGTGAAACAGGGACGGATATAAATTGATTTTTCCCAAGGTCACATGCCCACTCTGTGGCTGAGCAGGCACCACACAGCTCTACCCCGTGGAGCTTTATTTCAGGAAGCAAAAACCAGCAGCGTTCTTCAAAATCTGTAAAACTGTGACTCCTACGATTAGGACTCTCAGAAACGCCAGGATACTGCTGCGTGTTCGGTCCGAGGCAAGTGTGAGCGACATGGAATGAAAATTCTCTGGGAAACCATTTGGGAGCACTCACCTGCGTACACGGCCGTACCAGGGGCCACGGCGGGCAGAGCGCGTGTTTGCTGACAGCACGGAGCCCCGACGCGGTGTTTGCAGTGCATGCCCCGGGACACCGCGCCACAGGCAGGGCCGCGCTCACCTCACCTCACCCCACCCGCCGGATAACTGGATATAAACCCCACTTAACCCCCCGTACCTGAAAAGCGCCCTGTTTACTGATCTAACAGTCACGTGCAGCTGGAGCCACTTGGGACAGGGAATACCGCGGCAGGGGGCTAAGCGCGGGCAGCAGTGCCACCAGGGGAGGGGAAAGGAGGCACAAGCGGGGAGCGTGCACCCCAGCCCCCCCGCCGCCGGGCCGGCAGTGCCCCCGGCCGGGTCTGCCTCCGCCGGGCCGCCCTTCGCCCGCCTCCCCCGGCCTCCGGAGGCGCTGCCCCCCGCCGACTCACCCACGGCGGAGCGGGGCTGCGGGCCGGCCGGTGCCGCCTCCAACGCGGCGCAGAGCAGCGCCAGCCCGAGGGCCACTCGCAGCTCCATGTTAGCCGTGCGGGAGCGCCTGGCCCGCCGACGGCTCTGCTCATGTGACTGCCCGGGAAAGGGGCGAGCCCCGAACGGCTTGTGCAAGCCCCGGCCCTCCGCGGCCTCGCCGGGGCCGCCGGAAACCACGGCGCCGCGCCCGCCCGCTCGGGGCCAGCAGCCGCCCCTGGCCGCGGCCCCCGCCCGCTGCCAGGCGGCGGCTCCCGAAGGGGCGAGCTGCCGTCGCCTCGGCCGGCCGTGCCCGCGGTGACCTTGAGGGGAGCTCGCAGGAGCCAAGCCTGGCCGCGGGCAGGGCTCAAGTCAGAGCACCGGCTGATGTGAGGCGGCCTTGAAGGAAGGCTGCGCTCAAGACACCCCGCACCTCAAACATCTCTTGGAAGGATGGATCCCGGTTACTTAAGATGCTTTAAAATAAGAAACAAAACAAAAAAACTGATGAAATATGCTATGAAGTACACGTTTAATACAGCTTAAGGGAAGTGATGAGATGTACTGTAAATATGAGTCTCTGCTGCCAAGGCTTTATGGTAGCAAAGCTGCTGTTTATTGCTGAAGTCAGAGTAGTTTTGTCTAGAGGAAGAGTACTTGCTGTCAATTTTAGGAGCAGATCACAGTAGCGGTGTCATGGATCCTGTGCCTGCCCTCAAATGTCACAATGCTCTGTACGCTATTCTGTTCAGATCTGCTTTCCAGGGTTCTGCAAAGCTGTTGTATTAGCAGCAGCTGGAAGTCCCGTGTGTCATTTTTTCACTCCTCTGAGCAGTGTCACAGGCACTACTTCTCCACGTTTCTCTCCTTAATTTGACATTAATATTATTTATCTTTAGAATAGCAAAAGACTTTACCAATAAGCTTCACGATGGTTTCATATTATATATAGAACTGATGTCTGTAGGGAAAAGTAGCCTTTGTTTAAAAGCAACTGTAACGTAAAATATTTACTGTTCAAGGTTTATTCTGAAATGCAACATCTCTGCATTCATTTCCTCATATTTAATGAAAACCTTTTTTTTTTTAATTAATGACCCCACAAATTACTTGTTGTGAAGATGAATGCCAATATTGAGGAGGCAAGTCTGTTTTTCCCAGTGAAGAAGGAAATGCAGCTGCTGCCACCTTTCTCAGAAGGGGTGGCTGGGAAGGACAGTCATGTGGCAAGAGCACCCACAGGCAACAGAAGGAAGGCAGATAAAAGCTGCATCAGATACTGAAGCTGAGGATTAAATGAGCTAATAAAACTGAAGGGCAGAAGATGCTGCTTAAACATAACTGGCACTGTAGCAGCTAAGCAGCCCAGAAGAGCTCCCCATACGACTAGGGCAAGTTCTACTTTCCATTTCTCTGATGAAAAGTGTTTGCTCCAGATTTTGAAAACTATCAATAGCCATCAAATAAAACATATCTTTAATGGTTCATAATTAAGGACTCTCTTCTACCTCTGTAGTGTTCCCCACAAAGCAGACTTGGATCTTCCTTTCAGACAGCTTCTTTGTGAAAAAATAAGCTAATAACATTGAATTTTATAGTTGTGTGGGTTAGGTGCCTGTTATGTCTGAACTTTTATCAGATGAGTGAGATGGGCTACCCACATTATCCTACCTATCCAGGGAAGTCAACAGCATCTTTCCATGATATCACACAGGAGACCTGAAGGATGATACAGTGCAGGATTAGGCCTGGGAGTTGGGCTCAGCTGTGCCTTTGTTTGCAAGGCTATAGATGGCTACATCTCCATGTGGTTCACTGACTCAGTGTGTAGAAAACATGGACTCTCTAAACAATCTCCTCCCTGCTGCCAACAACCCATTCCAATTTTCTTAATAATCTGAGGCGTAAGGTGAGTTTTCTGACTCTGGTCTTTTAAGGAAATATTGGTCAGGCATAGGGTTTTAATTTATCGTTTTTAAGCAGCATTTTTATTTTAAATTGCTCACAGTGCAAACTGTTATCTCTCTTGTACATATTAGCTATAAAAAACCAGGTCAGGGAAGGGAATTTTAGTAGGTTTGTCTTGTACTGTTTTCCTGCCATCCTTGTGGAGACTGATGAAAGAGTTATTTATCATGTTGACCCTTTCCTCTGACCCTGTGAAAGACTTCAATATTTGCATATTAGCAAAAAAAAGCCCAAAAAAACCAAAAAAAACAACCCAACAAAAAACCACAACCAAAAAACAAACCTATCAAAACAAATTAACTCTCTTAACTACTAAACCCAAAACCCTATGATCACCCCAACAAAGTCTGTCTGTCTACTGACCTTAGCCTGCATTGAGAAACAAATTCCCAGTGAAGAGGGGAGCTGAAACTGGCTTGAGCATCTTACTTCTTTGCCTACATAAAGACAGGGACTTTATCTTTCTCCAGCAAAAAGAAGCCACTGAAGTAAGTCTGTGTTTCATTTCCCAAAATACTCTACACCACATAGAAAGGCTGCTGCATCATTGTGCTGCATACTTTTCCATCCTTAAACTCAGAAAAGGAACTTTGAACACCTCCCTCCAGAACACTGGAATATTAGCTGATTAAATGCCAAAGGAGCACATGTTTAAAAAATGTTTTAATTTCTTTTTGATTTGCATTCCAAAACAATTCACATATTTTCCATTTACCGTAATAAAAAAAAAAAGAGGCAAGTGTTTCAGAAATTTAATGCCAAGTTTAACCTGTTTCACTATAGAGCACAAGCATGCCAATTTGGTGGCATAAAGTTGTTTTTATATAAAAAACACTCCCCAAAACTCTTTATTAACCTTTCATGCCAGAAATGTGCATTTTAGCTATGCTCGATTATGGACGGGACATTAATCCATCCAGCAGAAGTAACATCTGGACAGAGGTCACGTAAACTCTACGCTTTCTCATAGTGGCGAACAGCAACCACATCACCAAAGGTGAGAGTCTGCAAGTCCAAGGAAAAGACAGACATGTTAGATGCTGGACTATTTTCTGTAATAACACATATTATGAAGGCCATGCTACAACAAGTTCAGTTTACATTATGTAATTTATAGAAAAATAAATTGGTCTAGCTTGACATTTTAAATGAAGAAGCAAAGCCTTAGTTTAGTTTTCATAAGAAATGAAACTTTCTCCTTGCTACTTTCACACCCAGGAAGCACATAATGCACATTTACAAGGCAGCACAAGTGAGGTTAGAATTTAACTTTTTTAATATAGCATTGTTTTAGTACACTTGTTTTCCCAAAGCTGATCACACCAAGATGTAAAATTTAAAATTCGAAGTCCTCTATACCCCTATTCTATACTGTTATGCATAGGTATATACTTAAGGAGAATCTTGCACTAAAAAATGCATTCTATGCCCTGTGAAGCTAGAACTAGCAGATACAATAGTTGCTGCAATTGTGTAGAACACTAACTACAGTATGCATTCTGGAAGTATTTCCTGAAGTAGAACAGGGCCCCTCAGAATGTTCAAATTCCAAAGGAAAAGGTTTTCTGTATATGTGTAGCTATTTCAAAAAGCAAAGCATGTGTTTTCCCTTGAATCTCTTGCCACATTGTGTTGCATTGACTGTATGCTTTAAAGTTTGTATTATTTGCAACAGTCTCCATCCATGCAGATACTCTCTGAAGTATGCAGGAAACAAACTAACTGGTTTTCTCCAGGGACCAAGTCTGATACATTAGTATAGCTGAAGACGTTTTTTTGAAAGCTACATATCTGTGCCAAAAATAAGCATGAGAAGTGCTACCGTGGACATTAGCTATAGTAACTTATAACATTTATTCACCCTATACTCCAGTTTCTGAAAAGCTAGGAAAATAACGTGAATTTAAACTGAGATTTTTCTCTATACAACAGCTGTTTATTGTAGTTTATAAAAAGATAGGAGGACTAAACCCTTTATTATTAAATATGAAAATGCCATTACCTCCTGCAACACTGTAATTTTATTTTCACAGGGAAATACTTATTTTGTGTAATTAACTATTTATGCGTGCATGCATAAAGTTTTCAAAGAAATCTGAAATATCACTGGCAACAGATAATTTCCTATATAATCAAGAACTTTGTATCATTACCAGAACTTTTTTTCTTGGGTATTTACATAAAAGTCTAGAAAGAACGTATACACTCTGGAAATCCATAGCCTGACTTGCCTAAAACCACTAGCAGTTTTTTAGTTGTCACTAAGACAAGACACAAAACAAAACAACTATTTGAAAAATCCCTGCTAGCTTTCCCTGCTAATTTAGTTTAAGGATTTGTGTCTAAGTAACACTATCTGTTCACAAAGCTTGAGATAAGGGTAAGTGAGAAGTGTTAGTGGTACATTCGAACGCTCAGGGAGCTTTATACTTACCATTACCATTTTCCCATCCTTTATTTCTCTCACAAAGTTTGTCTCTTTGCCGTCCCATTTCTGTACGTGCACTAGCTTGTCTCCATCCAGGGTCACAACTGACTGTGAGATACCAAGAAACACAAAGACCTTCATTTATTTGGGATATTTGGGATTCCGCTCACACATTCTATTGAATTCTCTTCAATAGATGGATGTGGATCTAGAATTATAAAGTAGTCCCAGCCATTTTCAAGCCAAGGCTATGAATCATCCTTGTTTTAAGCATGAACTCCACACAATTCTTGTTTGTGTCAAAGGATGAAAAAGTTGTTTCCTTCTCACAAGTTCCAGTCTCACAAGAACCTGCTTCAGATGTGCTTTGGGATAACGTTTCATGTTAAGCCTGCAAAGGTGCAGGAAAAAAAAGGAATTTGACTATTTCGACTGGAAAAAGGTTTCGCCAAATTGTATTTGGATTGAGAGAAAAGCGGGCAGCTAACACAATTCGTCGACACTAGAAGGCAGACAGGGAGCTGGGGAAAGGACACATTGATTCAAGCAAGACGGTAAGCGGGCTGGGCAAGCAAGATGCAATCTTGTCTTTTTTTCCCGTCCTTCGCAGTGCTACAACTAGTAGTAGCAGAAGTTACATTTTTTTCCCTTTGACCCTACCAAAGATAGAGCCTCGGGGGCGGGGAGGAAGAAGAGAAAAAAGACAGAGGCCACTGCAGCCCAGAGTTCACTTACTTTGCAGTTTCTATCATCGGGGGTAGTTTCATCAAATTCCTCTCCAAGTTTAAAGCTGATTTCTGTGTTTTTGAAAGTGCTTTGAGTCTTGATCACTGCTTTGTCCCCCTCGCTGCTGATAATCACAGTGGGTTTAGTCACATTCCCCACCTGCCGTGTTGCAAACCCCACTCCTAGACCATTCAAGGACAAAGAGAAATCCATCAGACCTTCGGATTTTTATATATTTTTTCTTTTTGCCACACATCGAGGTACAGAAATCTCTCCTCCCGCTCTACAACTGTAAGCCATCCCTGTGCAGTGCTGCTTTCTGCTTCGCCTGTGCCCTGGTACCGACATTATCCATCGGTACTGCCCCCCCTTCGCCCCCCGCTGTAGCTCCGCGCCCCCCTCGCCGCCACCGCACCCCGTCCGCTGTCACCCCTACGGCCTCGATCGCTTCTGCTGCTCTGAGTTTCAGTTCCTTATCACTCCAGCATAATGATTTCTTTTGTGTTTGTTTGTTTCCAGCTTATCCGCAAGCAGCATGTGCCCGTCTTTCACACGCATCTCCTCGCCCGGGGCCATCTCCCGGAGCCTCTCCCCGCAGGACGGCTCCCACGCAAGCACACCCGCACCCCCCGCCTGAATGAAGCAGCGAAGTAGCTCTGGGGATAGAAGCACAGCCGTCTCAAACAACCTCCCTCATCACCACCACTGCTGCCTATGCCTCATCTACATCTCTGGCAATGGGGGGGGGGGGTCCTTTTAAATTATTTTTTTTTTTTTTTTTTTAAGTATGGTGCAAAATTCCAAGGTCTCCTAAAGGTGCCGCCGCCCGGCCGTACCTACCCAGGGCCTTCATGTACTCGTCGAAGTTGTGGCTGTCCACCAGCTTCCAGGTGCCGCAGAAAGCCTCGACCATGGCGGCCGGCTGCGTGATCCGAGCGCGGTGCCGGGGGTGGCAGAAGCGCCGGTCCCACCGCGCCGCCCCGCATTTAAAGCAGGCGCCCGGCGGGGGGCCGGGGGCGGGGGGCGGCCGCGGTCCGCCCCCGACGGCCCCGCGGAGACGCCCCACACCGCCGGGGGAAGGCGCTCCCCGCCCCGGGGAAGGGGCGCGGTGGTGCCCAGCCGGGACACACGGCGGGACGCGGAGGGGAAGGGAGAGGAAAGACTGAGGCACTGCTCCTCACCCGAGCCTCCCCGGGGGCACCCCCATCGGTCCCCGTTGCTATCCCTAAATGTAAAGTAACACGGTGGAAAAAACAGAAGCGGGCACCCAACGTGAAAGACTCCACTGAGGGTCACAACGCTACCGAGTTTTCTCATGAAGATTTTCAACCCCAGTTTGGTGTTGGCCAAGTGCAGATCCCTTTACCCCTCACAGCATCTATATGGATGCTTTCTGAACTTGGCATTTGGTGTTGCTGATTGGAAACAGCACCTTGCCCCCACAACTGGCAGCATTTGGAGACTAAGAATGAAGAAAGAAGGAAAAGAGATTAAAACTGTTTCTTTCTTTTTCTCCCCCCCCCCCCCAAGAGAGGGAATGTTTTCTTCCTAGTTGTTGTTTGAAATCCTTTTAAGATGCTAGGTGGTCATCTTGTCTCTCAAAAAGTTTTTCAGAAAGCAGCCTGTCTCTGGGACACGCCACAGTGTCAGCTTTTCCAGACCTATGACTTGGATGGATTCCAGAATACTGAATCTAGCACTTCAGCTCTCGTAACAAAACTCAGGGACTAAGTGAATTGCTGAGGAACAAAACCTCAGCAATTTTTTACCTTGTTCAGCCATACAAAATATAAATAATTATGAATATTTTCCCAATATTTTTAAATTAGTTTCTGACCATCATTTGCATTTCTTTCAGGCTCTTGTAGTATGGCACATTCTTTAAGCGTAGGGCAAATGATGATTTCTGATGGGATTTTAAGTAAATTTGCCATTTTCTCACTTGTCCTCATAAGGAATTAAACCCTCTCTGAATTAATCCAAGGAGTATAATTCTAATTCCTTTTACAACACAACAACACAATTTTAATTAATCTTCAGAACCTAACGTTATGAACTAGTGCATCAATTTCTCTTTAACCTTCCATTCACTTACTTTGAAGCAAAAAGTGCCCTCCTGCAGCTGCTCAGTTTATGTCTGACTGCCTCTTCTGACCAGCTCTTCTGAGGCTTTTCAGCCAGTGCTCAGAAAGCCATGGAGACTGGAGCATCACTTGAAATAACAGACTTCCAGTTGTTCATGAGACTGAAAGGAATCAGGTCCACCTTTTTTTTTGTCAAAGTTGAGTAATGCTGTACCTCCAAAGTTTGCAGAGAATATCAGTCTTAGTGGTGCATCTCATATGGATGTTCCCTAACTTCATGTCTGTAGTCAGTCAAACCCTCTGTA